GAAGTTTAATTCAAGTAGCTTGAAGTCCAACCCAATTCATCTGGCCCTGGAACATTCCCCGAATCTAGTCGGAAGGTGGCGTGTGAATAGTTTGAATTTTGAACTTTGAACAAGGTAAGGTTGAATAGAAGACCCTAAGATTGCTGTTTTTTAGCCACCCAATTGATGCACGGCTGTGTCGAAGATTTAGTTGACCTGGAAGACTCGACGAGTAGCCCTCAAGGCCATTAAGCTGTTTCCGTGGTCATGCAATTTGCCATTCTTCGATCCAGTCAGCCATTGTCTTGGGGTCAGGGCGGTTTAGTCAGTTTTTTTGGAGAACAACACCTGGGCGCTCTATCGTGTTTCCACAGCGGTCTGTAGAAAGAGAGGGTTTTCTTACCGAAATTCGGCACTCCACTTAGCCCAAGGTACGTTGCATTGACATGCAATCGGTTATTTAATTCCACCTCGCCTGGAACCTGTGGCCGCGTCACTCTCATCTTGAAATGTTGCAAGACGGCGTCAGTTAGGTGCACCCAGAAAACGCTTCGTCATGGAAGCCAATTCCTAGCCTCTAACGCTAGTTATGGCTTAATTCACTTAAATATTTCCTTTGAAATATTTTGCAGTTTTTCGGAGCACACGTCTACCGAGTTCAAGAAGCTCATTCAATTGAAATTATACCAAAAGTAGAATTTTTTTGAGATGTCATGTCCAGCTTCAACCAACCGGAAGTCGAATCGCATCATTGCCAATGAGTTGCCAAATCACTCGAACATAGGAGGTTCAATTGAGGCTACCATTTGTTTATGAGATACCATGGCGTCAAAGTGGACCATGAATTTAAACAAAGGCTACATGTAAAAAACTGCTCTATTATTTCTCTTTTTTAACGAATGATTTTTTTCTTCTGCACAAAATTCAGTAAATCTTGTTAATGTTGATTAAACTTTATTTTAACCAACTTGTTTAGGTAATTTCCACTTATAATTTTATGTTTTTTTAAATCAATGCTTAATGACTCAGTTTTAGCTTTCAATTTCCTCTTAATTTGGGATTAATTACTTGCGAAAAACGATTTTTAAATTCCCTAGCCCATACTTGGGATGCCTAAGCTGGAAAGGCAAGAAGTACATCCAAGTTACCAACACGATAAAACCCCTGCAGGAGGACATTTTGCTACATTACTTCCAAACATTTTGACTAAAAAGCACCACGGAGGACACTCAACCATCAGATTTCCGCCACTTCAGTTGGTTATCATCGACAAAGGAGATATTTTCATTCCGGGGTTTTAGTCCATGCTGTCTCTTCGACGCGATACACTGGACGTGTGGGCGATTACGGAATCAATGAGGCTGTCTGATTGGCTACGGGACCAAGCGCACACAGTGGCGGCTTGGAATAAATTTGTGTTACCACGGTCGTGAGTGAATTGCAGTTGGGGCGCAGCATGGAGAAGTTGTACATCTCGCAGACACTGAAGAAGAAAGCGGACGGCAACAGTCTCTCCGATGTGGAGATCGACCACTACATTAAAGAGCTTGTGGAGGGTCGCGTGGGTACAGCCCAGATAGGTGAGTTGTTTGTACGCGAATTCATGACTCCGGTTAATTACAATCTCAGTTAACTCAACATTTGTTTGATTTGATTAACCTTGGGACAAAATTATAGCCTTTAAAGCAGCTATGCGACAGGCTCTCATTCCAGTATTTTGGGTTTCGCTTAACCGTAAAGTTAAAGTACTTGTAGACAGGGTCTAGACAAAAAGGCAAACACTAAATGGGTGGGCTTATTGACAAGACCTACGCATCGACGGAGGTGCTGTGTTCTGAGTTTCAGAAGTCTGAGAACGCATAACGCGCTATTTATGCTCCAGGCTTATAATATGAAGCCTAATTCCATGTAGAACAGCTGAAAGTCCGATCAAAAGACTGGAATACTAGACTGACAGTGCGTGGCTTCCAGCAGTCCAAGCAAACTGCGTTCCTAAGTGCGCCGGGGATTTTCGGTCTAGTCGATAATTCGGTCGGACAAGGGGCTAGATTTTGTAAAGCATGGTCAAGCAATTTAGGATGGATTCACGAGAGACACACCATTCATCCTATGATGTTCTACGGTAAGGTGGAAGTCATCGTACATGAGGTCAAGTGATTAGAAACTATTACAGGGCAGGAATATCACAGGTTTGCTAGATGTAATACGTAAAATTGACGATGCAATTAGGCTTATAAACTGAAGTGATCATCGGAATTTGCTCGAGGTCGTCCGCCAATGACAGCATTTAATCTGACAATATTCCTTCACAAGGTCCACCTCTACAGCTTCAGCTGGAGACGCTAG